ATAAGAAGAGGCCCGTACAAATCCATCACGCATATTCAAACAAATGAGTTCGCCTACATCATGTGCATCTAAGAATCAGATCTAGGGACGACTACACATCACTATGGACCCGCAGTGGAAAGGCACCTTCATCACCGAAAAGGCCTTCAGACATTTCATGTTCGAAAAAGTACTATGGCGAGATATTTCCGAAACCTGAATAGAGTGAGTGTTTGTTGCTGAGCATATTTAACACGGTGTTGATGGCGAACGCACTACGAGTAACTTTGCTAGGCCTTTAATAGCCGTCATCTGTATAGGAGTCGGCTGGTTTGTAAAAAGAACAATAATAACAGCTTTACAGATGGAGGAGACAACAAACGAATATCAAGGGCCTGAGGAAATACCTACACCTCCCTGTTAGCAAAGCCTTTGAACGTTAGCAACACATCTACTCAAACCTAAGACTTCAAAATCATAATAAATGTCCTTCTTTTATTATTCTTTATATACGTCTTTAGGTATATTGCTGGCGTAGAACCTATAAGAGAATCTTCAACTATTTCTGTAATTGTTTCGCGAATAACAGCCAAATTTGTCTTCGTTTGTACGAACGAGCAGAAAAATTCAACAGATTTGTAGGAGCTTCTTGCGGCAATTGTACCCAAGCAGTCGCTGAACCTGTTTACGTTCTCGGTAATTCCACAATGATCCCTAAGCCTCCGCGTCAAGCACAGGAACCAACAATAGTCCGAATATTATTTTCTAAAATTTCCTATCTCAAACGAAGAGGATGCGTAATGAAACGTGAAAAGGCTTTGCTTTTTCCAAAGTATACTTTGTTTTCTTATTCCGCCGAATCCCTTAAAAATCATTTTTTGACAGTCCAATGTTCTACTACCTATGGCATGCATTGCAAGATAGGTAGATGAGTTTAAGGACGTTTGATGTATTGGCGTTTACATATAAACAAATGGTGGAACTCCGATGTTACATGCACGGTCACTAGAAATGTGCTTGCATTGAAAGATGCTTGAGGGCGCTTTTCACAACGAAGAGCTTCTTTTTGATTTTTTTAAAATGACAAGCCGGCAAAAGGATGTGTAAAGCATTCTCCCACATTCAACAGGTTAACATAAAACGGATATACTGTAGTAGCAAACACAACCACTTGTCAGACATACACCGAACAAATACTTCACGATTGTGCATGTCTTTAGCTCATCACGCACATAGGTACGACTGAATGTACAGTCGCTTTATTAAGACAAAGGGAAAGTATGTTTCCTATGAAAGCCGTTCGCAGCTGGTCAGTTACGAACATTCAGCTGCGCTTCTCCTGCAATTTATAAGGTATTGTCATAAATTAGAGTGACGGATAATGGGATGTATTGATTGAGGTATTTGCGCGGTAGGCCATCGAAGGTAATATGGCTGTTTAAATAAAGCAACTTTGAAAACACTGTTATATTTGTGCCTGCGTGCCAGAGACGTTCTAAGATAATTTAGGCCATCCGCAACGAAGTAATTTAAGATTGGCAGGGCACTCCCGACCAGATTAGTGCTGCTTTAAAACTGTGTTAGTTCTGTACTTTCTCTTGTGTATTTGAAACTTTCTTTCTAAGTTTCTTTTGCAAGTTTTATTCTCAGAGATAGTGGAATTTCAACTTTATAAGGAGACTGCTGCGTCAAGCTGCTAACTCAGTGTGGTGGTGGTGAATTTTTGCCAAAACTGGAATGTCCGGGGTAAACTGTCCAAACGATAGTGCATCATTACTATCGAGCGTCAAACATATCCATGATAACGCTGAAGCCGTTAGTACTTCGAAGGGCGAAAATAAAGAAGATAAATCACTTTTTACTTCGCCCAGTGCACCTGATCCGCGCTTAAGTATACATCAATGGCTTACCCACCCTGACGGTATGACAGAGTGTGAAGGATGTAGAAATCTTGGACCAAACGAGGAAATTCCTACACTGGTTAACAATATTCTACCTCCGTTTTCGCTGCTGAGTGACAGTGCAAAAATAGCGATGGCAACGCTGGAAAACCTTCGTACTAATTCAAAAGGACAGTTACGTGTTTCCCAAGCAAGCAAACAAGCGTTTGAAAGCTGTCAAGAAACGCAGCTGCCAGTGAAGCCCTTGATCACAGGCACAGTGCGTCGCCTCAAAGTTGTTCAAAAGATAAAAGTGCCCTTGAGAAATTTGTCGAATCTCCTTAATCCAGGTGCCCCGGCATCAGTGAGACAGATCGAGGTACCCCAATCCTCTGTGTCAAACTTGGAGGCTGCTTGTAAACGGGTCACAAATCCAGATGCCGTAAATTATGTCATATTGGAGAATAACTATCTTCAAAAAGCGCATAAAACAGTTATCGTTAAAGTATGCGATCCGCCTGCTGTGAAAGCGGAAAATAAATCTACGACCACTGCTTCTATTGCCACTGCTACCACAAGAGAGGACAGCCATCAAGGATTTCAACCATGTCAAGAGATCGCGCAACGTGTCGTAAGGTCGAAAAAATCTGTTTTCCAAGTAGAAAAGTGCGAAGTTAATGACACTAATATAGGAAAAATCCCTTTTAAAATCATAACGTTAATTGAAAACTTTTTGCCAAAGGACGTATTAAAAGAAAATCTGCCGCTAAGTGTATTAGAAAACATTGGTCCTCGCACAGTGGACAAAGCAAAATCATTTGTCGAATCCATACGAAACGAAGATTTAACGCTAGGGGGGTTATATACACTTGAGTTATTTGCGCGCGGCGTTGACGAGGTTGCGATGATTCTGCTGACACCAAGACAGCAGGTGGCAACTCCAGAGAAACCTGAAGAAAGATGGTATGAGATTCTATGCCCCTTCTGTCTTATGTGGGAAAATCGAATGGTCGATGTTCCGCCTGTTTATAACATTGACCTGGCTCACAAACGGGTTATAGCTCATTGCTCCAAAAAGCACACAGCCTCTTATGCGAAATTTGCTGACAAGATGTATGTCCCTACCGGAATCGCCATTCACGAAGTCATTTTTGCACTAACAAAAAAATAGGAAGATGATAATGCCAAAAAAAATGCAAATCAAAAAAACCAGCGTGATGTTTAGCTCCCAAACGATAAGACAAAAGCGTCATTTTGGTTAGGTAGAATTGTCAATGCCCTTTTATAAATCTGTCGTAATCGCATGGGTATGTTAACAAACCGTTTGCCAAACAACGCCCTAGTACTGTTAGTGCAAATATTAACGAGTATAAGCACCGGCGCAATACTAAGAACAAGAAGTTTTTTGAATTTAAATGATTTCCACTGGACCGAACCGATTCGAATTTACCGGTATAGTTTTATTTTGGCAGAAGCCATCCGTTTGCACCTCGTTGAAATAATCCAGAGGCTGAATGCGAGCTCATATAGATATATATATACCATAGACAGATCTGCTAACGTATCTGTCTGCGTGTATTCTAGTCTGTTATATATAAACACTGGTTTGTAGTTGATTAAAACGGTACAAGCATTGTAGTGTGTGTGTGTGTGAAATACAATTAATCATGTATTAGAAATGGCAATCCCACAGAGATATTATAAATAAAGAAGCAAATATTTTTAGTTTGGTAAAAGTTTTTCAGAAAAAAACCGAATAACGTCAATTACTTTAACACTACTCGTTATCTTCAAGTTGTATTTTCAGCGGGCTTCCTAAGCAAAAACGTAGAATGTTTTTAAGCATCGATTTTGACGGCTAGATTTTACAGAACGAGATCGTTAATAACACTCTTCATGCCGATCATATGGCCAATTTTTTTACCAAAACGATAAACGCCTAAAACGCTTTTGAAATTCAAAAGATATAAGAATCACTGGGGGCCCAATAGCATGGTCAGGTGTCGTATAATATACTACTAACTATACATGGTAGGTAATCTTCATAAGAAATCGAAAGTGTTTGTCTATAGCATTGTTTGTTCATAGATTTTGGCGAAATAACGCTATAATGAAATGAATTATCTAAATAAGATAATAAAATACTTGCATTATTGATCGCAGGTTTAAGATATGGAAAGGATCGAAAAAAAAAAGAGGGTTCTTTAAACGCTTCACACTCTCGTGCGTATTATCAAAATGTAGTCTATCCTGCTATCAGGAATTAAATTCCTTGATGCAAGCTTGAACGGGGCAAGCCATTCACCTTTTCTACAGCTCAAACTAGACAAGCTATAATTATGCAAACTGAAAGCTTCTACAGTATTGAAATCAATGATTCCTTTATTTTTTGTTTCTCATCGTGCCTGAGAATATCTCGCATTTGTTTCTTAGGTCAATCTTGTTAATTCATATAAGAAAGAACTTACCATAAGTTCTCTAAAAGTTCATTCAAAAATAAAACGTGAAATGTTTTATCAACTTAGATACGTAAATATAGGAAGATAAAGATCTCTCGACCGGGTTACATTTTACCGGGTTACACGTGCTAAACGAAAACGAAACCTTTCATCGTGGCTTCCTGATTTTCAGGTGATAACATTATCGAACAGGGCTCTGCAAACGCCAAGGAAGCACTTTGTTTATGTAACCTAAATACAAAGCTGATAAAGAGCACAAGATGCGGTCAGGCTATACTCAGAGTGATAAACTGAACATTAATAAGCTAGTGTATAATAATATTATTTATGCTGAACACTCCAATTAATTATTAGCGAAAGACACGCCAACACTGCCGTAGATCTGAAATCGACCTGCTTTTTCAGTTTCGAATTTTAGGATAGGCTGACTTGTTTAAATATAAACAGGCACATAACAATAAAACGGTTTTTTTTCCGTTTGTTTTGCTCGTACGCGACTTTTTTGACTCATACATACGATTATACGATTATGGTAGCCAATTTGGATTCGGTAGAAAGCAATCGTCCATCAACTCTATAGACGATGCCAGTTACTGTGCATGGAGCCAGCTCAGACAGCATTTGAAAGACCGTTGCTGCTCTATAAGAACAAATTGACGTGACAAAAAAGAAAACAACGGTACGATTTTAGCTCAATTCTTTATTGATGCATTGTTATTAGCATTGCATTACTGATAAAATTGATCCAATAATGCAAAACACGAATTATGAATGCAAAAAAAAAACAAACAAACATTACTATATTGTTCTAATTGTTCTATATGCAGCTACATAAGTCACAGCTAGGCTTTTTGTGGTGGGACCTTTTTGCAAGACTTGCTTCTTTCCGCAACGGTGACGTCCATCTGTCATAGTATAGCGATGGTCAAAAGAACGATGCTTTCATAGAGTACATGTACTAAAATAATAGATGAACTGTTTTAGTTGTAATAATTCAATCTTTCGTTCTCTTCTGGGTTAGAATACTTATTTTATCTTTCTTTGATGTGGAAACTTTTCTCCGGCGTCATGTGCTGCCAGCTCAAGGGAATTTTACTAAATGGAGACAGCGTCTGAAAAAATCGATAGAGCAAAAATCACTTTCACGAAGACGTGATAATTCAACGGGGCTTACTCGACCTAAATTGATTAATAACGAACATATGCCGTTGGCAAAAACAACGTTGACTAATGAAAACAAAAGCATTCTACCAAATGCGTAATCGATGAAATCTGTGGTCGCAAATGAAATATCACTATGGAAGAGGACGATCCAGCTTTGCACCTATATCTACATTCTCACATCATGGTTAATTTAGGAAAAACAAATGGCCGATACCCTCATAACGCTAAATGTGCTGTTACAGTCTTAGTCGTTCAGTGAATAAACCCGAAACCGATACTCGTACTAGATGCGATCCACGATTAGTTATTCGAACTAAACTGAGTAAATAAGTTACAGCACCTGATTATAGCATGACGATATCTACTTCTCCTCGCACCATTCATTCTCTTTGCGGACCTGCTCTTCTTCAGATGGCGTGAAGTCGCTGGTGATATTGAATTGCTTTCGAATATCTTCCGGTGCCTTGCCTTTAATCATATTTGCCACGGTTTTACATGTCACATCCAAAAGACCCTTTATGTCTAGATAGTTGGCAGCCTGCGAATTCAAATAAAAGTATTGACAGGGCTTTTGCTTAGACATACAAACGATTATAGTCATAAACTAGGCAACTAACAATGCAAGCTTTAAAATACATAAATCATAATTCAGCTTTTTTGAGCAACTAATACGATCCATTCATTACAATGCTTGATTGTTTAAATAACATATATCATACGATATATTATTCAAGTCACGATTAAAGTAGTTTCACCTTAATCGATAATTATTAATTAATAATCGATTTAATGATTGATAATGGAGTAGAAATGCCTAGTATAGAGATAGTATAGAAGATACCCACGCTGCAGTTAAGTATTTTGTATAGCTACATACACAGCTTATTTAAGTAGGTTACCTACCAGGATAAGCTCAAACAAGGTTCCTTGGTCAACTTTTAAGAAGTCCGCATCCCATGATGGAATATCATCTGTTCGCTTTTCTTTTGTCTCGTCCTCCTCAAGTGGAGGAGGGTCATCCTTATGGTACGTGGCCCACTGAATAACCTGATGAATTTTCACCAAAACAACAAAAACGCTTAGATATGTGTTATTCCTGAAGCAACAACATTAGACAGAAAGAAACGCTCTCAAAATTGTATATTTCCGACCTTATTGTCTATTTAGCGTTTTATTTTTTATCTGATTGTTTTGTTTTTAAGTATTTAAAGTTCTAACTGTTGAATTTATTCGCAGGTATTTAGCAAGCCCGAAGCACTTTGCTTAAACGCTATGCCAGCCACCCTTCAATGGAAGAATTTCTCGTAGATTTATATGCGCCAAGTGTCTGGTGCAGTGGTAACACATAACGCTACGTGCGGGGCACAACTTCATAGCGGATACATAGTTGCACGTGTACGATTCGCGATAGAACGCATTAAAGGAATTTTCGCAACGGGTAAAATCGGGCCCATTCGCAGATAATGGACAAATTTAGAGTGCCCACCTTTCGAAGGATTGCTGAATTCACATTGGGTAGAGGCACTACTTCCTCGTCGTCCTCGTCCATACCAAGATCTTCGAGCATCGTTTTAATCGTCACCGATGCCTTGGCAATTTCGACATCTACCTCAAAGATCTCTCCATCGCTACTTTGAAGCTTAATATTTGGCATTATGATTAAATTCCGACGTTTTCTGCAAACATAACATAAGTTACATTGCGACATAGCTAGTGAGCCTTTCGAACCAAAACAGAGACTCTCTGTAGAGAGAGAAACAGAAAAATTCTTGGTCTGCTTAATCCCGCAGTAGTAAAGCTAATCGCACGAAACTAATCCCTCCTTAACGACACAGAGCTGTCCCAATGTTAAAAAAAGAAAACAGTAAAAATTAAAAAAGACTGACATTACGAATAGCCCGGATCACGACGCACGGAGCAAAATTAGATAATCATTTGGTAAAACTGGTGTATCTATATACGTAATTTTTGAGAAAAATGTAATCTACGCAAAATATTCAGAGCCAATGTTTAATAGCTTGACTGTCTATAAATGGCTAGTATGATATAAAAAGATCCGTATCAGCTATGAAAATCAATTTTATTTAAGCGACTTCAGCTCCAAGTACAGATGCATTTTAATAGTCTCATTTTATCATATGAAAACAAGTCGTCTAATTGCAATATGTACTAAAATAATTGCATAAATATTTACTATTAGTCTTTGTTCAAAAACTATATTTTTTTATTTATCGTTGCCTGAAACTGATTTCCGCTACTATCAACACCGCCATTCTGAAGCTTATAAGCCAGAACGTTTATTCCCTCGCGTTCCCTCTCTCTTTATCGCTCCCTTCGCTACACAATCTCACAAAATATTTAAAATGTATGATAATCTACTGTACTTATTTGACCTTATTTCGTAAATGTTGTTACGCTACTAAAGAAAGACACTTTCAAAACATGCGGATCTTCCAGCCCTTAAGAACAAGTTTCGATCTAGAAATTTGCTAAAATGGAAAGCTTATGTCTTAATTGGCAAGCTTGTGTCAACCTAGCTGTTAACAGAACCCAAAAAAAATTATTGATATAGTGAATCTATTCTATCATATGAAGAATCGCTTCTTCATTTTCCACACGCTAGACTTCTACTGTAAACCGTCATTAGACTGTTCGCTGACATAAGCGCACGTACACCGACAGAGGGCAACCATCTGATTCCCGCCTACGACTAAGTGCTAACAAGCGTTCCGGTAATCTATCATGACGCAGACACAGCCGTAATTGGTGAATTATTAAAAATGTATAGATAAGTTAAAAGCAGGAGATCACTCCTAGAATATGAATATCAGCTACTCATAGAAATCGTGATGCCCCTTGTACTTTTAACCGATACGATCAGTTCTATTTTATAAACGCAGTCTGTTTTCCGTTATGATCAACGTTAGCATGTAAGTTGACTTGTTTTCGATGGTCCGATCGTCTGATTACTAATCGCTGACTAAAACCCACTAGCATTATCTTAAGGACGCGACGCCTAGCGAATATGTGGATTATGGACAACCAGCGTTGTGGTGATGCACTCGCCAAACCTTCGAAATTCACATCGCGCATTAAAACAACGAGAAGCTGGCAGCTGATTTTTTTACGATACCAATTCTGCAACGTCATTACACGTTTGCGCTACGCGAATTACGCAGCAGTCGGCGATATTGTAGCGAGGGCCATTTTTTTAAAAATGCTGTAAACCCACTCTCTGTTTAACTGATATGGCGCTCAGAAATAATTTACATAGGGCTCTCGGCGTCAGCCTGACTTGCGTTCGGCCGAACCTTCAAACGTAGTCAACATTGACCAAACGAAATCTACAGACGGTTTCACTATGCCAAGATACACAAGTTGGTCTAATCCTAGGCGCACATCGTTGCTGTGCAAACACAAGCTGCAAATCCGTCGGCGCAGAACACTGGAGTGAAATCGGTTGATGATGAACTACAAAACGCATCCTTGAAAGTAAGCAAAATTTGGGACACCGCCTGATAAAGACGCACTTAAAACACTAACCAGTTTTTATTCGACGTAAGATGGAGCAACCTCAACCAGACACAGTTATTGTAGGTTTGCTCTTTAACACCAAGTTAATGTGTGTTCTAACCAATCCTTTCTGGTTAATAACCAGACTTCTATCACAGCCTTTCGTTGAGCTCAAACTACACTGAACACAGAGCGGAGGCGAAAAACATTGTGTCGAAGGCTGGGCGATCGGGCCGCTGGGGAAAGGGCTCCGTGGGGAGGCGGCCTCTTCGGCACGAGCGGGTATTTCAAATTTTCGTAATGCATCGTCGTCAAGTTCTGAAGAAATTCTAGTACACCTACGTGCAGACCAAACCTAAGGGCAACGCATAGAACATACGATATTGGTAAGACCTTGCACTTATCGAAATTTAGTAATTATTATAAATAAAGTAAAAAATGAGTGATATAAACTAAAAAATGCAATTATATTGTTACGCAAAATATGGTGTTCTTCACCGTTCCATTTCTCACGTTAACTGTGAACCATGCATGCATAACATTTTGGGACGGTCGACAACCATCAATCTCCACCTTATTTGCCAAGCAAGCTGAAGCCTATGCCAAGACTATATTATTTTATCAGACCAAGCAAAAGGATCTGTTTTAGTATTAAGATTAGTAGGGCAGAAGAGCTCAAAACTGAATTGATCGAACTTGAGAAAGTTCAACTTTCTTCTATCTGAATCCTGCTACAATAAGTTCCAGTTAATTGACGTGTTTCTGGAAACAATTTATTTCTGCCATATTACTATAAATAAAAAACAATAATACTAATATTTTAGTGAAAAATTTCGCTGAAACTTGAACATGTCTTTAAAAGGTTTCTGTTCCAAATTCTAAAAAGAAGGCTTCCCTATATGAGTCTTTGTCTTGACTTTCCCATTGCGAAAAGCGTCAACAATTATATGCTCTACAGCATCATTACTGCAAAAGCGACTGCATTGAACTATTTCATTAATGTATTCTTACCTAGTAGAGTAAAAGCCACTACCTTTTGCGTAATTAAGTAAGTAAGGTCCTTTTCTATTACTTATATGTCGGGGTTAACAATTCTCGAAAATTGATTGTATACTTGATATTTGAGCTATCATATTCAATTTTTTTTATCGAGTGCTTCTTTTTAAAGAAAGTTTTGTAAATTTGCTAAGTGCTAGCCACCGACTGGCCGTTTTAATGGATGAAGCCAATCAACTTTAGACGAACTTACGCCATTAAAATACGAAGACTTACGTCGCTGCTTAATATAGGGGCCCTCGATACAGCTTCTTCCATTTAAGCTGCAATTGCAGAAATTTGATGTACTCTTGTATCATCATCAGATTGTCCCTCTTCGCTATCAATTACTACGCCATTTGTCTATAAGCCTCTTCAAAAAAATATTGTTTTCATTCAACTATTGGCTATTATCTCTAAATATGTGCTTACCGTTTTACGCTGTGATAATCAACATTTCGTTCCACCTGAAAAACGACGGTCAGACTCTGACTGGTGTTCCCGATAGACAGAGGGGACAGAGAGCATGTGACACAAATCGTTGTGCCCTCCATTAGAGTAACCTAATGCGTTAGGCAGTTTCTCATTGAGTTAATTTTTTTTTAGCTCAAATGTAGGATCATTAAGCCGGCGGCTAACAACTACTTCTCGAAGGCAAAAAAAAGACGTACGAAATATCAACAAATCCATTTTAGAGTTGGATGACAAATTACATGCCTCTACTGTATTCTCAAACCTTATTGTTCAAACCCTCAGATATATCGGCAAACTTAAAGAAAACATCATGCAGTTTAATTCTTAGAAAGCCTTTTAGATTTCTCGCCATATTTCTGTTGTGTCTCTGTCAAAGTATACATGATACCGTCTGGCTTCTGCGAGGGTGCGGTCTGAAGATCTGGTATGCCAAAAGAAGGCTACTTCCGATAAAAAAATACATTACCGGACCTTGTTGATGGTCTTTATATCAACAAGGCGAATACACAGAAATGCTTGTGTTATCAATAACTATGTATATAGCTTTTGTTCTTGTTAGAATTAATTAAAGGAAAACGATCTTTCATAAGATCCGTGTCATTTAGAGCTCGGTACAAATTACTAGTTGCTAGCTAATACCTAAATCCTACGAAAAACTCTAAAATAATAACACGCACGCTAATTGATGCTAAATTAAAGTGTTTATATTTCCACCGTTTGTTTTCATATATTATTACCCTTGATAGACATAACCTAGCGATCATTCGACATCATTTCAATTAATTTCTATATGATCTTTATTATAATACAAGTATCCTTTCTGCTGTTTCCCTTCACTCCAGTTCTGTTTGGTTCGAACCTTTTTTTATTTACATATTGCGTTACAGCAGCCGTTCGCTTTACCTTCGAATCCTTACCCCCTCCCCCCTTCCTCTTTTGACCGCAATGCTATGATCATTTCCTGCGACCGAACGCGTGACGAGCTTTACTTGATAAATCTCTCCAATAAAAACCAGCCCAGAGATGCTCCACTATTATGTCCTAAGTAGTCGTTTTTCTAGTGGTGATGTTGTCGTCGATGATTCGTGCATTGAGATATCCTGATCAGATTTATTTGGCCTTCGTTCCTATGCAGCTTTCGTTACTAAAGTTGGAGTGCGGAGGATCCCAACTTTCCCTTAATCAGACAATCTGGTCCCGAACAAAAGTCTACTGAAGTACATTGAAACTCCACTTCTGAATTGGCACATTCGTCCGGAATATATTATTCACAGTTTGAATTTGTTTATGTGAAAGGCTAAAATGAGGACGCGAACTTCGGCAGATTGCTATTGTAATTACGTACTATTTTAGTTACGTACAGATCGATTCTGCTCAGAACCATTTCTATTTCTACGATGCTACCATATAGCAAGTCTTGTGATTATGGGAAAAAAAATTCTATCTTATGGAATACTTTCTTTTTAGACGTCAACTAGAGCCACTTCGGCGGTATTTATACACTTTATTCTTCCAACTCATTTGCGTTCGTTAGCAAATTTTTCTTCGTACAATTTGTCAACAACGAATTGTAGACGCGTATAAACATAAATAGAGAATTCATGACTTTACCTTATATTATTATAGCCGTTATTTTCGTAATAACCGCTTCCTCATGCCGCATCGTATGGGTGCACGTGCACGGACTGGTATTGAGCAATGATGCGTACAACTTATTTCCCCATTAAATTAGCCGTTGTAATTTTTACGATGACTTTTGTTGTCATTGGGAGTAGTTCTGCACCGGGAGCACCATCGAGAGTATTTGGCGAAAACATGACCACGAACAGATACGGAGGCAACTGAATGCGATCAATGCATAACGGAGAACCATTTCAGTAATTACAAATCACTACAACGATCTCGAATTTAGATTAGTTATTAATAATAAGAATTTAGCTTAGTTAATAATAAGAAAGCAAGATTTATGCAATGTAAGATGTGTAGTTTTTCTAGACAGATGTTATTGTTGACGGCCAATCGTACGAGAAGATCGAACAAAAAACAACTCGTACACCATGGTCTAATGGAAGTATATCTGCAGCTTACGGGAATAGGTACGTACATACTGCTATGCTTAATCTAACTGGTTTACCAAAATATCAGTAAGATTTTCTCAATAACTGGTTGCTATATGTTTTTATCGTACACGTATCAAACATGTGTGATGGCTTTCATAAAACTTATGACGAATTCCGTTTCACATCAACAACTTGCATAGGAAAAAATTCACGTATCTCATCTTTTCTGTCACGGTCAACCGCAAGCTATTGGTGTAATATTCCTAGAACCTCTAAATATCATAGTTGTAACTCAAACGATACCCCAAACTTGTATAAGCACAACGTATCTTCAAGGATTGATAACATAAACGTTTGAAACTGTAAGTTTTCCCGGCATTGTTACCTCTTTACTACAAGAGAAGCCGGATATTATGTCACGCAATTTATTTTGCCGTCCTATCCTTTAGCCTCATCATAGAATCAACGTCCTTTAATTCCATCATACCTTTTCTAACATCTACTGAGAGTATATATATATATATATATATATATATATATATATATATATATATATATGCTTTTCATTTCCTCACTAACTGACACGGACCCGGGACATTGGGAACCGTTTTCTTTTTCATAGCTCTTCTATCATAGTAATAACATAGCTTTGACCGTCATCCAGTTAGTCAGAGACATTTGGTGACCACCGTGGCCCCACTGGTCGGCGGTGGCTTAATCCCATCATAGGGGAGATAATGGGCGCCGATGTCTTCACCTTCTCGCTAACCATCGTCCTGCACTCTTATAGTACTAGCTGCTGCTGACATAATGCTTCTTCTATCATAGTAATAACATAGCTTTGACCGTCATCCAGTTAGTCAGAGACATTTGGTGACCACCGTGGCCCCACTGGTCGGCGGTGGCTTAATCCCATCATAGGGGAGATAATGGGCGCCGATGTCTTCACCTTCTCGCTAACCATCGTCCTGCACTCTTATAGTACTAGCTGCTGCTGACATAATGCTTCATCCCCCCCCCCCCCCCCCTGCCATCTTGTTCTTCTACTACACCAGTAACATCCAATAGAGTTCATATATATTTTACCCCACTACGCCTCCACCTAACCGTGTAGCATTTCAGTTAGGCTTAGCAGCGTCCCACAGTAATTCAGCTCTTAAGAAAGTAATGGGAATAAACGTCTTGGTCTTAATGTGTTTTCTCAGAACGCGGCATTGCTTTCCGTGGTCATTGCATTAATGGCGTTGCATATTGTTTAGCAGCGGCCGAACTTAGACGCTTGCGCATAACATCTTCTTTATCTTATTCTTTGTCCCATAATGGTCACTATAGTCATGTGATTATGATCTTCAGTTCTCATAGATTTTGACGCAGTAGCTCTTGAAATGCACGCCTATTGTTATCTTTGAACAGATCACCGAAATCAGGCAGGCTAGATATGCTCGCTTGTTAGTGCTCTGCTCAAATCGATCATACCTATTACATCATAACTGTATAGTACTAGCCGTGGTCAACAAATGGACTAATCATGAATCGAGTTTCACCCATGCACAGTAAGGAAACAAGAATATATGCAGGTGGCTTAAGTTCACTTGTTTCGTTCCCTTCCATCGGAAAGCAAAACTTTATCGTACTAGGTACATATTTAATGGAATCATAATACTCTGCTGTAGGCAGCCCGCGGTTATGTTTCTCATCTATAGAAACTTGTTTGCCGTCGCTATTTTGGCGTGCTTCATTCTCGCATCTCTTACCTAGAAACACGTCAAAAAGTTCTACCACTATATCCTCTTCTGTAAATTTATGTAAATTTATCTTTATAGATAGATGCTCATATATTGGGGATAAACTGATGGCTAACTAAATCACTTTGCAGCTGGGCGTCGGTGATGTAGACGAGAAATACGTGTTCCCTCGAAAGGACATGACAAACACGTCCGATAGGGCAACACCTCTGCCTCCTTCTTGGAAGGCTTTTTTAGGGTACTTCGGGTCTTCTCATTTTTACCGCACTTCCTCTTGCTTTGTACAAGGTACTTTTTGCCACATGTTATTTTTTGTGTGTGGGTGGAGGGTGCTTATCTGTGTTTGTATTTTTGGAGCGTCCTATTTAAGAATATGTTTATCTCTGCTACCTGCGCTATGTTCGGACGGTAGAGCGGCGCCGTACATCGAGTGTAGTTGTTTGCGTATCAAATAGAGCAAAACGAGTTTCAAGATCCAATTGCCCCGTCTGTTGTCTCTCGACAACTCTCTGTTGTACAGCAACTCGATTTGCCGGTCTGCTTTGAGTCGCTGGTGTATCAGCAGTTTCGGACGGGATCCTGCAAAACAGGCCGGTGCACAACCGACTAATTGGACCTTTACCTTGAGCCTATACCAAACGTGCTAACCATTTATAATGGCGGAGTTACGCTGTCTTTATTAGTGGCACAGTTTCTACTATTAGCACATAATTGCTACCAGAACCCGTCTTCTGCCATTTGATAGGAGCCGTTAAGTACAAGGCAAAATAGGGTCGATTCTTTTTCTTGTTCGCCCAGCCTCTGTCGATTCACATACTTTTAGGTCAGAGCCAACTAGGCCACTAACTCAATGTCGGATAATGAAAATCCGGAGCTGCTTGGCCTACACGCCGATAACGGGTCTATATTCAACCTATCTGCCTATTTCTCTTGATCATCACGATGTAGAGAAAGACATCGAAGCTTAATGCTTGATGTCACTTCTTTCTCCCTACATTTCTATCTTCCACAAGCATATATATATATATATATATATGTATGTACGTACGTCATATCGTGCCTCCTTGTCATCGCACTTGTATGGAAAAAAAACTCCTATTGCAAGGGAATCTTTACTTCAGACCAAGTTTGCGAGGTCAGTCATCATCTGCACCGAAGAGGCTCCGTTTCGCCTTCACGTCGTCCATCATTTACAAATGATTTCGCTTGTAGATAATAGGGAAGTTTAAGGGCAGACCACTGTATGGTAATGTTGTACCGGTCTCAGTGAAAATGTATGCCAACGGCTAGTAATGCCCAGCGACATGATGCGCTCTCTGTTAGTCTTCTGTCCGAATGGGTCTTTAAATACAATTTATCCATTATTATCCAACATCTAAATATCACATTCTCAAGCGCCGAATCAATATCATTATTGAAAGGAGATCTTATCGCGTAATCAGTCTATGTATTCCTGCTATTTTGAGAAATCCGCCTAACTGTTTATCGAGTTGATTAACAAATCAGCCATATTTTAAGCGAGTGAAATTTTACATCGTCTACATTGTCTTCAAGACTCGAGCAATATTTAAGTATGCGTATTCTTTAGGATTGACGTTAGTACTGCAATCATATGCTATTCTTTATCTCATTATAGATAAAGAGCACAAATAAATATCAATACTTTTTGTTGACTTAGATATATATATATATATATATATATACGGATACTATGAAAAATAGGATTCGAGTGCGGTATGCAGAAGCAGGATGGATCAGCTAAGAGGTTTTGTACGTTGTCGCGGATACAAAGCCATCATCCGTACCATTGACGGCATCGTTAACTAACGATATTTTACTTGCGATAGCTTGCAATATCATTTTCCATATTTTAGTTATTTGGTGTAATTCTTTACAGCAATGATAATAATCATTATATTTGATCGTTTGTGTCGTGTGTTACGTTGTATAGCGTTTTTGTTTGTATTAAATTACTCTGCTTTCCGTTAGACGATGATGGTGTAGATGATGTCGTCGCCTTTTTTGTGTTTGTCTCCGTACGCCATATGTTGCTTCCTTGACATCTTTTTCTCGTGCTCAATTATAACTATAATCGTTTGCTATCTGAGCACATTTAGTTGAAAATATTCTTTCAGAACCGCCTGTCAAGCTCTATCATTCTAATTCTATATCTCTTATTTCTATACTGCTACCGCACTAGTTTTAAGGTAACTCAAAGTTGGATATCTTTTTCTGCCTCATTTAATTCATATCCTTCGGCCTGTCATCGAAAATAGAGCAACTAGTATCATTATTCCTATTATGCAGAGATAAGTGTTTTATGGTTGTACTTTTATACATCTCCTCCTTCGCATTTATGTATATTTTTTTTTTTTCTCTATGTATACATTATATTCCCAAATCATCTTACTGTGATGTCATGCTCGTTCCTTGTTATTTGGCTATCGTTGTTATTATTTAAATACTACATAGTTATAGGATTCACTCTATATTTTTTAGGACTTTATGGTCAATAACGTGACTTATGTTTTGGCATAGAGTGAACTGTGAAGTATCACCTTCCGTTTCTTTATCGAGTGTGGCACCGTTCAGTCGCCCTTGCAGCGAAAATGAATACTGCCAGAGATGTCTGAATGCTGACGAAGGCCGTTTAGGATCTAAGAACGTTGGGCTTATTCACGTATGCTGTACGTTCTGACAAAAAAGATAAGGGTATAATCTAGCCCGATAGAATGGTCTCATCAGTGCATACGCTACGATACGGTACAACCGGTATAGGTTGTATTTCTAGTAATGTGCTACGGACGTGTGACCCCATTGGGGCATATCTAATAGTTAGACGTAAGAGTAGCACTTCATATTTGTTTGCTGTCTCTATTTTCCTTTCTGCGTTGAATTGACAAGAATTGTTGTTCTTGATGTTCACCGCTGGCCAACTCCCATAAAAAGTGATCGTTTACAGCTAGAGTCAACCCATATATATAGGTTGCGGATCCATATATCTCCGCAAAGCGCTTCTGTCAATCACTACGACAGCTATCTTCTCTTTCAATCGAGTTGCATCATCGAGTACGTGGTTAAAAATTCGACATCTGAGTAGTTCTTTGTTTTCTTTCCTGGTGATGTTCTCTTGATCTTCGCAGGGCTGAAGGTACTTGTACTATTCATAGCCAGAGCTAGCTACTTTATCGTTGTTGTTCGACACCGGATGTTGGTCTAAGTGTGAGAATTGAGCTTGCTTACTTCCGACTTCAGCTTATTCATGTTGATGCAGTAGTCCATAGACACGGTAGATGCTCTAGGCAGGAAGCGAAATACTTTTCTAATACTCATGAGATTTCAAATAGATCTAAACAGCTTCCTAGGCAAGCGCCTGTGGCTACTTCGATTTCGCCTAACTGTCTAGCGTCTGATACGGGTGAGATCTTTTTACTGCTATGTTTACGAGGTGGCGTTCTTTTCAGATCACGTGAACTGATCGTTTCTTTCAACTTGCCGAAAAGCATCACGCTTGGCGCCAAAAACTAAGGTTGCCAGAGAACGAATACAATGTCCGCCACTTTAGCTGTGTTTTAGCCATTTTAGCCGTTGTTGTTGTCTTGGTATCGTTTTTAGCGAAAAAAGCATTAATGGGGCTTTAGCTTTTCACTCGATGTATTATGGTTGAAAAAATCTTGCAGGAGATCGTTATCCGACATGAGGACACTTCTATTGTTCACAGGTGCTTCTCTACACATATGTTATATCTATAGTTTAGCTAACTGCTCATTTGCAATACTATCTACTATTGAACAAGGCTGACTACCAAGGATAGCTTTGCCTTCGAACGTTAGAGAAAAAGCTTATATATATATATATATATATATGTATATATAAAGTACGACATATAAGTTAGAACGGGTTTTGGCGGACTGTTTATCGTAATGGGCATGCGTTCACTTGGTAGTGTTGGTAACAAGCAAAAGTTAGTTCTGGGTTTTGGATTCAAGCAGTAAACTTATCATAGCCATAAGAAAACAGTCCGCCGTTTTTGCAATTTGAACAAATTATTATTTCGAACGAAGTCAGCTCTTATCCGATTTTTTGCGCTCGGCGAACCCGACGAAAAAGCTTTTTTGGCCGAATACGGTGCATGCGATTTCTGAAAGAATCGAGGAAGGTTTCTATAAGGGAAGCTAAAAAATTGTCAAGGTTTATGTTTAAAAGGCTAAAAATTATAAAAATGGCTTACAAAGTCACTTTTGATACATTTTAAGTTTGATAAAGAAACTAACGGTCGTCGTTTCGAAGGGGATCAATTCGCAATTGAATCCTTCACATAAACTGACTGTTAGTTGGTTTCGAGATTCTCTGCTCCGTTTTGCACTTCTGAGACATTTTGACCGTTTTGAACTATTGCACTTTTAGGACTTTTGGCCTGTTATCATCCAAAAATTTAATCTCGCTGGAATTTTTTTTATACGTGACGTACGAGTTTATACGACTTTAACGAATTTACACCCACTAATATAGCTTGATGCATGGTAATTTGAAAATGAATAGTGTATGGTCCAGGTCCTGAATTGAAGCTCTAACCGTAGTAGATGGTGGTTCTAGCAAATACGAATGAACGTCAGGACTCCTATACTTCCACTACAAACAAAAAATGTGATTAAAATATTTGTTCTTGTTTGGGAAACGAAGCCCAAAAAGTTCCAATTTAACAGACATACTGACACGTGTATTTATACATAACCTAGCGCTCGTCCTTGACCAGTGTGCCCTTCTTTTCGCCCTTTTGGTACAACTCAATTCGAAAGCGGTAGCTGATATTTTCACAAAGAAGGAAAACCGAGAGAGTGCAAACTGAGGGACGTTGACTCGTCTTCGTTTAAGTAACCAAACCATTTTAGGCTGATTCTAGCACCCTTCAAACCTCTATCTTTAACAAAATATATATTGAATCTTGGTAAATTAATTACGACCGACTGCAAGCTGTACCGGCTTTACTACACGAAATCATTTGTGCCAGGTGAGGTGAGCGGTTCAGCTAATGGCGAGCGAGGTTTCTCCAGGCTGAATTGATCCTCCGTTGTTTTCCGGTAGACCGGGTTATCGAAGTTCATCGATTGTAGATGGCGCGCCTTATTCACACGGCGATACACTAACAGTGAGGCCTAGAGACGACAGAAAAAGTCAATCTTTTAATCGTAATGATGTATTTCGCAGTCGTAATACAGTGTGTAATAGGACAGAAAAGATAACTTGTATCAAAAAAAAACGTCTTTTAGCGCACACGCCTACTATAATAAGCACGCGCTACAGCCTTTTTGCTGCACTTACAAAGGATATCCGTAAGGATAAACTAACAGTTGCATAATATAGTACTTTCTGCTCTCCTTACAGTGTTTCTCTTCGGCAACAAAGAAAGTAACAATTCAAATGACTACACCATACCGTGGCCGCAATCAGGGCTAGAAGTGACAGCGCCGCGATAATGACGCTGGCGATTCCGCCGCCATTTTCGGCTACCCGCTGCTCTCCGTGATCATCATGGTTTGGCCGCGGCGTTGTCATCTTAGGTTTGGGTACTTCTTTTGAAAGTTCCACACATCTAATGCCGTCGTTCGCTAATTGGTAGCCGTCGACACAGAGACAAGTATACTGCGGCGATCCCGCCGAAATTGACGGTGCAGCAAGGCAGAGCTGGTCGCAGGTATGATTCGCGCACCTGTCAGGCCCTGCGGGTTGACGCAATTCGTGATACACGACTAAATCTAGTGGAATCGGTGCCTTCAACACCACAGTGTAATTTTCGCCTGTCAAATTGAACGAAATATTGTATTCATGTCAATTTATGCAAAGGTGATTTGCCGAGTTCCAGAGCATCAGCTAATTCCAACACAAATAAAGTATTGCGTGTGATTTTTTTGTTGATTTTTAATTAAGAGACCAATATCATTCAGACACTACTGTTTTATGCCTTATTGAAAGTGACTCAAATTAAAACGTAGTCAACACAGCTTTCATTATACAGCGGCGACAAATATTATTTAGAATAATTGTGGACTCACCGTTAAATTTGTTGATTTTAAATATTTTTTCCATGTGCCAGTCTGACCAGAAAAGCCAATCTTCAAAGACGTCGATAGCAAACGGGTGCAAGAACACGTCACGAGACGTTAATATTGATTTGCGATCGCCTCCGTTCATATCACATCTAGCAACAAGATGCAATTTAGCGTCAATCCAATACAGCCTGCAGAGAAAAAAAAAAAACAGTTAACCAAATCGATGGTGTAGAGAAACCTCTTCTTTTGCGTCTAACTGTAGATAAATTACCTTCTAAGATCGTCTTCAGAGTATTAAGTGGTTCGGAACACGTATCGCACACCCATGTGTATCTATCGTCATGTCCCTGTTACTATTAATTTCACAGGTGAGTCAGTATGACTGATTAGATAATACCTGTTGGAAGATAAATCTATAGAAATCGACGAAAGATATACTGGGCAGAAGGACAATGTGTTCCTTCTGTGGTCTAAACAGGTGATCTGAATTCCATTCGTTCGTTAGTCCACCGTCAAAGTCGTAGCTCGTTACAATATTGGTTCAGTACTTAATCAATCAAGTATACATTATTTTGGCTAGTTTATTATGATGGCCACGTTACAGTCTTACTTTTTGTCATGTCTATCTATTGCGAGCCCGTTTGGCCATTCGATGTCCGTGTCCACCAGCGTGGTCCGATGAGTCCCATCCATTCCAGCCTTTTCAATTCGTCCGACCCCCCAGTCCGCCCAGAAAATCCAGCCCGTCAAAGGGTCCACAGCGATTGCCCGTGGTTCCTGGAGATGCGATCTAAATAATGTCTTCACGTTTCTCCCGTCTAGGAGTTCTGCTACGGAAATTACGTCTCGACCTAATTGTATTGAAGTCACAGAAATAACGAGTCGTCTCCATGAACTAGCGGGTCGGTGATGGATCGAAGCAGCGAGGCAGGTATCGAAAACGACACAATTTCGATTCTGGGAATATTGCCTGAATCGAACTATCTATTCAAAGTTAAGCCGATAATGGAAAAAGAAGATAGATGCAAGTGGGCATAGAATTTCGATAGAAAACAACATGGTGTAACATTTGTTGACAGAATCAAATATCGTTGAATAGAATCTTCTAGACGAATTTTTAGCACGTCCAGGGTTGCTAAGATTCGTACGCGTATGTTAGGACGGCGAACGAAGCCGGTTAGTTCTTTGTTGCTGATCCTGACCCTAGTCTTAAACATTTCTGACTATATATAGGTACTAGTTGTTATTAGGGTAAATAGTGCAGATAGCAATAATATAATGCTGTGCTCGCAACGATTAGTAAGGCTTGTGACTCAGAACTTACATGTGTCCGTCCAGTAGACCTTGTTATGGATCCAGTCGACTGCTATTCCATCAATATTACTATCTACAGTACTATCTTTGCGTCCAATAATGACAGTCGAAATATTGTTGGACATCTTAGCCCTAGAGATCTGTCCCAATGTTGAATCAGCCCAGACGACGGTTTCCGTCCGAAACACGTAATCCACCGCCATCGCTGATCTCGTTCCAGAAATCACCTCCCGATACTCGTTCGAAACGAGATCAACGACTCGAACGTCGTGTCTGAGGACAAACAGTTTGTCGTAAAGCACTTTTACGCATACTCCGAGATGCTGTACTATTAGTCTTAAATGCACTATATTCCCTTTTCGGATATGCAATCGCTATTAAAATAGGGAAATTTCTCTGATCTATTTTTGGGTCCATGGAACGCATCCGGCGCCTCAACGGGACAAGTGAAAATGTATTCAAAGAATCATATTGCGCATTACCTGTTGGCAAAAAGGAGCTTTGGATTTTTGCCCTGAGCTCGACAATATCCTGTGCCGGGTTCAAGAATATAGTCGGGTGAGCAACTGCATTTGTATCCACCTTTCGTATTGTTGCAGAACTGACTGCAGATTCCGGGAACTTCGATACATTCGTCGATGTCCACACAGGAGCGATTGTCGTTGCTGAGCCTAAAACCGTGACGCGAACATTCACAGCGGAAGCCGATCTTTAGGTCAACACAGTGATCCTGACAGCTTCCATTGTCAATAGCGCATTCGTTTGTGTTACATGCATTGGACTCATCTTCATTTTCGCCGCAATCGTTTCGGCCATCGCAGACAGATTTCAGTGGAACACAGTGGTTATTACCACAGTCGAACTCGGTTGATGAGTTACACGGCCTATGAGCTATCGTTATATCTGGAAATAAAAACCAGAAACCAGACGAAAGCCAACATTGCTTTGGGTCGCAACAACATAACCAGAGATACGCTCATTCGAAAGCCGTCAGCACGCTATGTAATTCTGAATAAATTTTACTAACATTCACTGACTGATATATCGATTGAAGGAACATTATCATGTTATTAGGGCAAGCATAAAGATAAGACGCACTTAATAACTTACTTTGGCATTTCTGATGCTCATCGGATCCATCAGCGCAATCCTCTATGCCGTTGCACTCCAATTTGCCAGCAACACACTCGCCAGCGTCACATCGAAAATGGTCGTCTTGACACTTAAAGGTGCAATTTTTCTCATCGGATGCATCGCGGCAGTCGGGGTCACCATCGCAGCGCCAATTAGACTTGATACAGTCACTTTCATCATCGCAATGAAATTCGTTTGCTTCACACGTGACGTTCTTGGCATAGGTGGACGCTTTACAGTTTGCTTCATCCGAACCGTCACCACAATCATCTCGACCGTCACAAAGCCAACTGAAATTTCCCAATGATACATACATCTGCTCAACTTAAAGCAAGTTCCTCTCGTAACGTCATAAAACTCATGTATAGAAGGTTATGTAGGAGTTTGATGTACTTTTGCTCACTGATTTCATGTTCGATATTCAGAAGTTGAGTAAACTGTAATTAACCAAAAAAAGGTTAACGTTAACAGTTGAAATCCAAGTTATAAAGCCTGATGCGACATGAAACGATCTGGTTGAGTAAATGTTCATGACCCATAGTGATGGACTTCATCACATAAAATAACTGCCTGTCACAGTCTGAGATAAAAATCATAATCTATTTCCCTAATCGATGTCAGAGCACATTTTTCAAGTAATCAGACGTAGCGCTCCCGTTCACCCTGAGCTTAGTCCAGCAGAAGTCGAATCGATCTCATAGCTATCGCAGCACATCAGGCAGGTTTTTAACATTGAGAAATTGCATAAATTTACGCCTTAGTTCATATCTTACCAATGCTAATTTCACAGGTGCATGGACTAGCGTTTCCGCCGCACCCCATTTTGCCCCATACGGCAAACGTTGCCATGCAACAGACAAAAAATACCCACCGCACCCTCCACGTAATGTGCAGGAAAGAAAAGAGTGCGAGTAAAAATAGGGATGTTGAAACCACAAAAATGGCTTCGTTCATAGTTCGACCTGTGCCCACAGGCATCTGATGAAAGATAAGCTCTGCGAGTGAACATATATATATATATCGTAGACAGACGGCAAAGTGGTTTAGCCCTCTCAGGTATCTTGTTCCCATCACTTTCCGTCCTCTTTTTTTAATACATACACTACTCTTTTTTTGTGCCCTTACTTTCGATCTATTGCTGTCTTTCTTATTCGATCCTTTCGTAGTCGTGCACGCGGTGAGGGCGCGGTTAAGGTATACAGAGACGCAATTTCGATAGGCATGCTTATAGGTGCAAGGGCTGCCGTGCGCCGCGTGTTAACCTATTAAGCCTGGACGACCAAAGCTTGCTAACGCTCAGTTGCGTAGGTAATGTATAATCAGTAGGCGCTTGCACGCTACGTTTATTCGTGATCGATCTGTTGGCACAGGCAGCAGCTGGAACACCAACAGCGGCAGCAGTAGTAGCACCTAGAGCTTCTACCTAGCAGCACCTCATCCAGCACGTTTTTCATTTAGTAAAGCTATGGACGGAAGCCAAGATGTCACTGGAACGGTGACGACATATGCAATACGAGAGTGAAAAGCTTACTCGCCACGGCACATTTGGCGTGGATGACACCGAGTGCCCTTCGATTGCCTGAAAACTGCTTGCCACACGTGAGAGAAACAAGCGACACTGCATCCATAGAAGCTTTTGTTGCGCGTATTAGAGGATATCGGTGATACTGATATTTCAACTAGAGTTTTATTTTTACGTAACAGATAGAAAAATGATTGCGTACTCTGGTTAGAAGGCAGAGACGATTCTCCGTAGATTTTTTTAACAAATGATAACGAATAACAAAGATTTTTTAACAAATAAACAAACAAACAAAAAAGGGCGATTGGAAACCCCGTCCATGCCTGTTGTCGTAATACATCTGAAGGTTATACTGTACACAGGACCTCAATAGAGGCGCGTCAAAATCTTAAATGTATGCTCAGCCACCCTTGAGCTGAGGTTTAGAATATTTTGATGAAGTGAGAAACAATGAATGGCAATATCCATCGTTTACTCGAAGAAGGAGACACTTTGAATAACAGCGTTGCGAGTGATTTTTGTATCCCTTTATTTTGTCATTATATGCTATTTCGGCGGTCGCTGTTAAGTTGATGCTAGCATAATCAGTGCCACTTCGCGAGCATCGTGGATCGACGGAAAAATAAGCCCCTTGAGCTCAAACATCGCCTATGCAACAAACGTATGCTATTCTCATTGACTGGTTCATGTACGAACGTATGATGGCCTAATTTGGTTTCCATGGGTCATAGCGGATCCGCACGACAGGACTCGGCGCTATATTTCCATAGCCGATCGGACGGAAAAGTTGTGATCGTCCTTTTATGGCGCTCGTAAACGGTCCAGCGACATATAGGATAGATCAGCGGCCGCGCCGGCAGTTGCAACGGCCTTAAAGGGCAGGCTATTTTATCCTTATAGCACAGAACGGATCGGTAACGAGCTCAATAATGGTGGAACTTTTCCCGGCGGCAATACCTTTGGGGTGGCGTCCTGTAAACATGGCCGTCTTTGGGGACCCTACGGAAAATCGGCCAATCGCTGAGACAGTTCGGTGGCTTGACGGCCTTCCTTACGTAAACGTTGTACAATCGATATATTTGAATAAATCCGTCTTATGTGGCGATTATCCTTAGGGTACATCGCACGGGGTTAGATATAGTTCGTTCTCCTATTCGTGTATCCCATGTGGCGCTGGCGAACCATAGCCAAACTAGACGAGAACAACGGCAGCAGACGTAATCTGGTTCAGAGCTATAGTACTACATCCTTGAAGCTAGCGTAAGGACAGTATCATTACAAATCGAACTGATAGACCAAGTTTAGCTCATAGAGTTGTCGAAAAAAATACAAATTAAATACTTTCAGTGTAAGTACTGTCCTATGTTCTATGCTCCTATATTCGGATATGCATAACTCAAAAGAATGACACCGAGGGCTATATATCTTGGTTAGAATAAAAACACTAATTTTTTCAGGTTAAAACAGATTGTCTTGGATCGCATTCAACATGCTACAAATGAAAGTATAAACACATTACACAAATGTTCACAAATATCGAAACAGTAAAGGAAATAGAAAAACATTTGGCCCATATTTGCACAAACCTGGATACGTGTGGTCTCCTGTTATATTAATCGATAATGCAGTTTCTACTGCAGTGTTATAAGGTCTGCCCTATCAGCTTTTCATTCTAGTCATTGATATGCCCTTACATTTGAGAGATACACTTCCCGTTCGCACACGTGAACTCGTGCTGAGTGCACGGTCTGGGTTTACAGCCGTGTTCATCCGAAGAATCGTCGCAATCTTCGTCACCGTCACAGACCCAATGTTGGCTCACGCATCCGCCGCTTAAACAACGAAACTCCTCCGGCGAACAGCTTGGCATATCTACACAAATCCAATATGATCCAATAAACGAAATAAGTAACATATTATGATTATTGTTAGATAGAAAAAAAGCAAGTAGCTAGAACGACACACAGTCTGTTGCGAAATCATTTGTTCACATTGAGAAAAAACAGAGGATTTCTGTCAACGCTTAACAATTCTAGTTGATTTGATAGAATTGATAGAGGACTTCGTACCCACACAGATAGCAAAGGAATTGTGCTGAGCAAACACGTAATTCTCTCTTGCTCGGTTTTGAGTACAAAGATCTTTTATGTCTTCCTACATTCTATGATCGCGTGAGATTTACTCTCCTGTGCAATGGCTTCGATGAGACTCTACGAACGAAACTCGTTCTTTGTTGCGCTAACTTTTGCAAGTGGCTTAGACGTTAGTGTATAGATGGTTACGTGTTTGTAGTGATTGCCAGCAAACGTGGTTCCTTCTTTTACGTTTTCATATTACACTATGAAAGGTTATGAGTTCCCAGCTAAAAGAGCACGAGATAGGGAACTTTGAAATTGTAATAAGATAGCCAATGGCACGTATCCTGCGATCTTGAGCGGGTGGCAATTGTCTAAATATTAGACGGAGCGTGTGTGTATACACATTGTATAAGACGACTATTGCCTAATGGACCAAATTGATTGATCGATCGATCGATTGATGCTTTATCAATGACTCAACAACGGGATACGTTCTTCTTCACGCTAAACGATATTCGCAAATGTGGATAGATGTTAGGCGACGCAAAAACTGAGGCCGAAGCTCAAGGCTATTCGAATTATGGGAAGTCGGTGTGTTTTGGCTCATTTAGTGAAGCTAAAAGGTGATGACAAAATTTCCGCACAGCATCGTGCGTGCTAAAGCATTTTGTCAATACGAGAAAAAATAGGCCCACTTTGCTTATACCGAACACTTTAGTTATACTGAAACCAAGTAATTCCATCTGATACATATGTCCTTGGCAAATTTCGGTGAATACCTTATTCGGATTTATAGAACGAACACGGTTTATCTAGAGTTATCAATATAGTGGCTTTGTCACTGCTGTCCAAGCTGGCCATAATGACCTCGGTTAGTAGTGTTCTTACTTTGTTAGAATACTCTTATTTAATTTAGCTAGCGAGCATTATTTCGAAACAGATAATAAATCTCACTTTTGATTCGTTTTACAAATAATTGTCCGATAATTAATTTATTACTCAAATTATTTTTACTCACCGCATCCACTTTCATCAGATCCATCGATGCAGTCTGTACGTCCATCGCATCGAAGACTGGCCTGTATGCAACGACCCGGGGAATGTTTACATGCAAATTGGCCCATTTCACATGTGTGTGTTGCTATAAGTGAAAATGGCAAACGAACGTAAGCAAATTCGCTAATGTCGCAATGTTAAATCGTCAAATACACTATAGATAATTAATTTTCCTAAGTACCCATGACAAAGAAGGTATTTGAGTTAATACATTAAACTGGAACATTTAAGTAGTAAGTCTGGTCGCAAAGGGCGAGCAAAAAGTCCCAGCTGGCTATTAAGAAGCGGAGTGTAGATATTTTAGCTTTGATGGCACTACCGGAGCGTTGCACTATAGTCATTACGGTATCGTTTGGCCTCAGTTACTGGATTTTGTTTTTTTGCCTACGATGATTTCAGATATGAGCATGGAAGCTTCGAGAAACGGTGACATCAACAGTTCCTTATTTTTTCTTGTTTTCATTTAGCTTTATCTGTACGTTTACCGTGCCGAACGCATTTGAAGTGTGGAGGATTGATGAATGACGCTTCATTTTAACTGCTCGCTAATGTTTACATCCGACTACAGAGTTCACGTTGTGCTGTCTCCTTCAGTAACTTAACCAACGCATCTAAATCTATGCAGTCTCGGTATCTCCAGAGCTTCTCCATGCAAAATCCTATGCAGAGAACGGAACGTCGGAGCTCAATGGAGCCTTATCAACCCACAATTGCTCGTAGGAAAATCTATACAAAAATGTTTCGCATAAGGCTTATGGGCTTGTGGGAGGGCTGTCATTAATGTGAGCGTGGCTTCATCAGCTCTCACTCTACGCAGCTCGTATTCGGGTATGAAATGCGCTACACCATAAGTAGGCTATAGGTGTACATTGCTCTAGGCAGTATCATTATTCCTGTCTAGCTTCCTTTCTTCCTTTCTCTCTCTCTCTCTCTCTCCCCCTCTCTCTCTCTCGCTTGCTCTTCACCAAACTGCGTACCCTACTTCCACCGCTTTCGACACCCCCGAGGACAGGGGCAGAAGAGGTTGTCATGTGCCTCTTCTGCCCTTGTGCCTAACTTTTGCTCCTTTATCCTTTCCATCCGGAGCAAGTTGCAATAGTAACAGCGGAGCGCCATAGGTTTTTTACACGCATTAAAATATCCCTTTGGTAGCCGTCGAGCTTTTTCTCTCTTTAGCTTGTCTATTTTGTTGGATATTCATTCTTCAACGATAGACCGACGTTTTCAAAGACAAGGTATCGTTAGGCGTAGGCAAGTTTCCCTGCAAAGGTGATGCACCACGGCGGCCTCCAGCGGCTCGCCGCTGTCATTTTTCGACGCCACGTACGACAACGCCGGGCCTCGTGAGACGCGTAATGATGAAGGCTCACTACGGTTAGCAACTGTTTCAGCCTGATAATATCAAACAGGATTACATCGCTGTACCAGCTTAACCCCCGACTAGGGTTTGATGCATTTTTTAAATTCTAAAGCAAGCGTGTTCACGCATCTTAGGATGGATGGACACTATGCCTTCATCGTACCTGGGTGCAGTGGCGCGATTGACCGGCGCTGGGTGCACAACTAAGCTTCAGGCACGCCGCAGGGAATCGTAGCCTCATACGGCTGCTGCTTATCGCCCGCGATTCTTCACATATCAAAAAGAGGAAGCGAAACAGAAGAAGAACAGTTGGAAAGACTCTAGATCCACACAAATGAGACTTCATTTTGAACAAACGCAGAAAGGTGAAATTCGTTTGCTCTCAACGGAGATTTTACATTAGTGTACTGCTGTTGAAAAGACGTTAATAGAAATGAACGGCCAACGTGACGTGTATGCTAGAATGATGGACAAAAAGTATATAGTTAAGACTGGCAATAATGGAAAATGGATTTATACATGCTGGCCGAACTCTTCTGCCAACTCACTATCGATTTAGTTGGTCGTTAGATGAACGTCAAGCGATGCCCTAACAAAATAGCAGTTATTGTCTCAATTTTTAAGCGGTGATATCAAGCTGCAATGCTTTATCTATTATAGATAAATCAATAAATACGACACTCTCTGAACAACTGCCTGGAAAATCACATGTTTCCTTTAGTTCAGTCAGCAATCATCTTCAACAGACAGGCGAATCTATTGATGCGCTATTATGCGGCTGTACATTTGATAGGTGGTATCAAACGCTGGCCGCTCGCATGAGGCAAAACGTGTGATACCTGACACACGGGCTTTGCCCAATGATCTAAAGATAATTGACCCAATTGACATGGGCCATCCAGCTTTGACTCAGGTGTGTTACTCCTACTTGAACATAGACCGGTAAAAAAAAAAGAGCGCCTATATAAAGGAAGTCCATGCAAAAATAGAATATTTATACATGTACTTCCTTTCTTCGATTTGTATTGCATTCTATTAGTAGGATTAGACACTTACGTTGTTGCATAGCCTGTTGCCTATGTTCTTTCACTGTGAACTGTTTGTTCAAGACGCGGGGGCAGCGATTGGGCATCAAGACGTGGACATTTTGAGCTAGTGGTTCAAGTAATTGTAACAACGGTGCGATGGAGAATTATTTTGCTAGAAGACCACCTTTTTTTAAATGAAACCGTAAGTTTTTCAGATGACTCAGGGCGGTTTCGTACTATTTTCCATCGTTTGGTTTACGTAATCAATAGAAATGCTTCATCTGCTGTAGGCGACCACCCCCCTTGGGCTACAATTAAACTTTACTGAGTACATGTTGTCATATACTCTTTCTCATTTGCTTATCGGTGAGGCAGATGGCGTGCAATACATGTCCATGCCCCATTAAAAAATGATGGTTTCAGCTTTTCGATTCTCTTCGTGTATCAGATCAGCAGAAACAAAGCCGAGAAGACATTTCTCTCACAGCTAAATCTCACAAAGAGAACTTCAAGGCTTCAAGCTCAAATCATAGCTATGACGTCGAGTCTGTCCCATATTAAATCGTTGGGTTTCTTGTAACTGCTTGATAATGTGGACATCCCCAATTGGCAAAAAAATGATCGTCAGTCGAAGTACTACGTGGTGTCTACTATCGGCATAAATGGTACTTGGTGAAATCAGTGCGGTTAGCTTTCAGGTAGTCTTAGTCGGTAAATCTTAACCAATCGATATCGGTTTCGGGCTTAAAAGTAAAGAGAATCTATATCTCGTATCACGAATTTTCTTGTCTATTCAATAAACGATCTTAACTTGATATTTTATAATAATAATCCATATTTGAACTGGTAAAAATAAAAGCCAACCGTCAGTGATGTGTCAACGATGATTATCAAACGGTTATTCGGTTTTTGCACTTTGTAGCCGGTTGAACTAACAATGATCTCTTACCATTTCACCGATTGATGTACACTGCTTGCATCTGATAATTGTATTACTATTTCACTCAAATGGTGGTTTAAACACGTGTTGTAAACATGCCCCATGCGTCGCCAATACAAAGTACTTCTATTGACCGTTGCGATACATTAAGTGTTTCGTCCTTGATGCAACTATGGGTACTATCGTTACAATCGTTACTTGGCCTATTTAGTTAACTAGGCTCTGTTGAAAAGTACAACTTTGATGCGAAACACCATACTAGAGCTTTGCGCCCTAGATCAACATGGCTACAACAACGAGACTCACTGTCGCAAAGCTAGCCTAACCGCTGAGTTCCTATTTCCCCTTGTCATTATACCACTATCGTCACGAGCTAACCAGCATAGCCTGTCGACCGCCTCGCAACAGACTCGTATCTGTCGATCGGAGACAGACGAGTTTGCTGTTACCTGTCATAGTGTCGAACGTGTTGTCTTTACAGAGACTTGCGCCAGGGGACACCTGCTTTCCAAGTACACTTGCTGTACCAATCCTCAAGCACTGTTAGATGAAGCCACAAGCGTAAATAACTTCTCTAACAATAATACTTCCTATTTAGCCAACCACAACCTATGTACTTGGCGAATCGACGATGGACGCGCAGAGTCGGCCTCGTCACATCCATCTGCATCGGTTTACCCCACAGAAATATTCCTCGCGTCATCCTTTTGCACACGACTCATATGTGTCAGAAATCCAACAAGGTGGTCTGATATTCTAGCCCACGACGATGTTACTGGAGAAGCATTGATAAGCTCGGACAGCGTTATACACGATTCGATTATGTTACTGCGTCCATCATCAGCCCTCGGCTTTCAATTCCACGACCCTCAATGAAATCCAACTTATTCAACGAACAGGGCACCAACTCGATGTGATGTTTTCAATTAAGTGTCCGCATCATGCTGGCTGTAGGATGAGCGCCGCTCGTTGTTGCTACTGGTGTTGTGTCTATACTTGTCCAACTGATGACGCTCTAAATTCAACGTTTTCGATAATGGCGCCAATCGAGGTTTGTCCTTCGCTCTTTCCTATCGAATACGGGACACACGAAGAACGACATCCCTATAGGCGTCGATACACATACGATACCGGGCGAGTCAAAATTGGACTCGCAGTCGAAGTTTAAACGAAAAATTTTTAAGCGTAAGTAGACTTACAGTTGAGACCACATTACTCCAAATTGGAAAATTTTTTCTGAACGAACCCAGTTTTCATTTGCAGAATCTACATCCTATCCCACGGCAGGCAAAATTTGTATTCACCCTGTATATATATATATATATATATATATATAAGTATATTTCACTAGAGACAGAGTACCTATCGAAGGCCAACTTAGTCCGACGTGTCTTAGCAACAACGGAAGGGGAGAACTCCGACCATTCCTTTACTACCCAGACTACAAATGTTGTGGCAATAGTCCAACAAGCTACATGTTATATCTTATATGGTATACGAGTTTGCAATTCTGTCCGACTGTATTCCCTCGTTCCTTTCAAATCAAGTCACATCTCGCCTTGCTTTTCATTTCTCCAATCGCGTCATCGCCCCTTCATTGGCAAAATCCGCATAGCACTTCGACCAAATGCGCTATCTCTTTATCCTTCACCCCGCCTAACTAGGAAGACACACATGGACGAATTGCTATTGTATCACAGAGACATTCGTTCTATTCAACCAACCTCAAGATAAGTGTTGGTCAAGCAAACCTAGCAAATGACGAAACGAATCTTCACTGACTGGAGTCACGGGCCACCGAACGCGAGGCCGACTATGAGCATCATACGAGCGAATTCAGTCTTTGTGCTTTGCTTTAGCGATCGGTCCCCTTGTCAATTATTGCTTGTGTTATAGAAACTTTGGTAGTTAGAGAGAGAAAGAACAGTTATAGTGAATCGGGGATACAAGAACCGAAGGATTTGGAAAGAGCCGGGGGGTATGGGTGCACCCAGCTGAAGCTGTTGTTCTACCAGCAGCAACTCTTAACGGAGTCCCCCTAGGAGTAAGCCCGCTTTTCGCTAAATGATTCTAAGGGACGAAATTGTACATTGACATGGTAGATATAACACAGCTTTGGTTGGCAACTGGATTATCATAAAACTGCTCTTATGCAGTTACCGCAAAACGCATGTTCGATGCTGAAGACCTTCGTGGTGTTCAAACTGACGAACGGACATGGCCATGACGTGGTCGCTGTGTGCTTACATTCTTGATGAACTTTTTATATAAATATGCGTAGCCATTGGATTAAAAGCTGGGAACTAGTAATGTCACCAGTTGTCTGTAAGTTTAGGGCACACGACAAACCTAGCAGATTCTTTTTCTATTTCTATCAGTCAAATAGGTTAGTAACCCTCAATTCAAATACATTGTGAAGAAAGGCCCTGCTTCCCATGCCATTTTCAGAAAGCTGGTACTAACGATATTCCCGTCACCGCCACTTATGACAAAGGAGTAACGATTCAGAGCTTCTACTTTTTTTAGTCTTTTTCAGCTAGGCAATAGTATTCAATACATAAAAAGGTGGGCGCAGTAAAACGATATCTGCTGCCTCATGGAAGTCGTTTCTTTTGAGTTAGAATCACAGCTGTTAATGTTAGTGAAGTACGATGCTACAGATCATCAGCTATCGCAAATAATAGGAAAAACATGGTGCACGTGTTAGTCAGGGTAGGCGCGTGGGCGATTTACACAAACGGCTTATTTTTACTCTTTACCAAAAACGAGAAAAACACTTCCGATTTTTTTAGGTTCCGCAACGAGAAGATCCAAATTGTCCCGCTAAACAGTAGCGGTGCGCTTTACGTTGGTGAGCTTACTCACGCTGCATTGCGCGTCTGCGCGAGAGTCGAGTATAGGCCATCGTGCACAACTGATGGTTACTTAAGCAGAAGCGCTACATCCGTGCTTACCAATTTTGCCATGCTTTTTTGTGCAAATTTTTTTATGCACTATTGAAGAGAGAAAATATTTTCGGGAAAATCGTTGTCTCCGATTAATTTGCGAAACAAGTCAACACTTGAAACCAAACAGGACAAGATGAGGGTTTCCGCGTTCGCCAGGAAGGGATTTAGCACCTCGCTTTAAAGGCAGTTAACAACCTGAGAAAGAAAGTCAAACAGGTAGCAAGAGCACTTAGGAAATTGTCGGTGCTGCGGAGAGCGTGAACAGTTCAATATCATCTGTAGCAAGTCCTGGATGCGTGAAATGCATTTGGGGCGTATGTTCTTATATCTTACACACTTTAACAACCCCTTAGGACAATAGCGTACAGAGGCGGACTTTTAAAAAGAACATGTGGTAACCTATATTATGCAACGGAACGTAGCGTACTATAAGCTCGATTTTTTCTCCGGTTAATAAAACTCGAACGCGTAGACTTGTCAAATGGGGTGCAAAACGTCAAATCGACAAATATTCTTTCAAATATTTCCTTCAAAATTTCCAAACATTTTCATAGAAACTAAATGGCACCAACACCGATTTTGTGTTCGACGCTTCTAATGCGGATATCTCTTGTAAACACCAAAGGTGTGGGCAAAATATTTGATTTCGGTTACTAATGTCTCCTAATGATGCACGTACTGACTAACGAAAGTTGTCCGAATACGTATGGCAATACGTTCAACTGTCACTTGGCAAATTTCCACCGGTATATACCTCAGGTGGTAAGAACAGATCAGACACTATTTAAATGCTGTCTCGTTATTGTACTGCAGCAATCAATGCCAATTCTGGGAACGTCCAAAGGCTTGCTGGTAGCGCAATATTGCTCGAGGTAAAGGGGACGAAGTAAACAACGCCAACGTAGACGAAACAATAAACAAAAAAAGACCATCCTTTCTTTCATCGGACAGATCCAACGATGATGGGGTGGGCCGTCATTAAGGATTATTTTGAGTAAAGACTGTTTTGAAAAAAAAGTACACCGACAAAATGCTTAACAAAGAAAACTACAATCCTTATTCAGTCGTAGGCTTTTTGAGGTACTTATCTCTATCCAGCTACTACAGCGCCGTGTAGAGCTCCCGATTCTGAACTTTACATCGTGCCGTCTGTATAACGTCTGGGAAGCTCGACTGTAATAAGGCTATATCGCAGAATAACCTTTCTTTATGACCAGTGACGAAGACATTGTGTTATATGTAACCAAAATTGGCTTTGTATTGAATGGGAAAAAGTAGCAAAATGTCGATACTTATAGGTATCGACATTTTGCTAGTAATCGACGCCCTATAACTGAAAGTTGGACTGAATCTCTCGTCTTTCTCCCTCGAGAAATTTTTTTTTCTAGCAAATATGTAACTAAACATAACTACGTAAGCCATCAGATCAGCTTTGTCTAGAATAATAAATGTAGCTAATGCTAGACGGCGTTGTACACTTATTATATCACTTGAAGCATTTAAGTATCGTTTGCTGAGGGGATGCCTACCGGTGCTATCAGACGTAAGATTCGAAGCATTTAGGACGAACATTCACGTGTTTCTACAGAGCTTCATACGAGACATAAATATGACGCGTCAAAATAGAAGCGTTAACATACCGCACATCTGCGGATCTTCATCGCTGTCATCACCGCAGTCGTTATGGCCGTCGCACTTCCATTCGACAAGGATACAGCGTCGATTTTTGCATTTCATTTGTGAATTTGTGCAATTCTTATCTGGACAGCCTTTTTCGTCTGAACCATCTTTGCAGTCTTGTTCGCCGTCGCACCGCCATGTCTTGTCCACACAGGTTTTGTCACCAACGCAGGTAAACGCATTCATTGCGCATGCACCTAAAATTCAACAGAAAGTTTAGAAATAGTAAGTTAGAATAACTTAGGGCTTAGGTTAGTTTTGTTCGCCTATTATTGCAGTGAAGACTTCATAGTTGCTCTGATCGTTGCTCATTCATTCAGAACGCTAAGCTCTTCATAATTACGATGGATACGAAATTCAGTCACTTGGTAACATCTCTGCATAATTTTAAGTTCATTCTCTGCAAATACCAACAAAAACTAATCAAGCTCTTTGAGGAATAAGCTTTTCGAGAAGCTATAGGTTTTACTGGTAATTTGATTTTTTACAATTATGGCTATTTATCATAAGGCGTAATATTTATAGCGCTCAAGACTAAAATGAATAACTTGAATTTGCTCTAGAACTAGCTTCATACAACGATCTGCTATTGCGCTTTTGTCTATTTTACGGCCCAACACTTTACAGAAATGCATACAGATCAGTGTACTTCTTATTCGATGCCATCCTAACGCAGAGTGACTGCCGTTCACAAGCGGGAATCCTACCATGGTCACCCATGTTACGAAGAACTCCGCGAATTTGCACGTGACCTTTCTATTCAGTTTACAACCCTTCAGTGAACATTTCTGAGGCGGAGTGGCTACACGAACGGACCAAGAATCCGTAGGGGTTTGACAACCATACCCAGCGAGGAAGTCATCAAAAACTTTTCGTTTCTCGTATATTGCCAGCGTGCATACTTGATCCTATATATCCTGTGAACGCCATACCCCCCGGTGGCTTTTAATTTGCCTTAGTGGCTTATTCACGTTTCGCTGCTTTTTACGCCCTTCAATCAAAAAAAGTATACTAGTTCATTTTGACAATTTCATAGTATCCGTCACTCATTTCAGCTAGATTCCAACTTTAGACTACGCTTAATTCGAGGTACAATAAAGTACACTGAAAATTAGACCTAGGATTATGGCATTATGAGAGAACAACTGAGAGCGATCATAGCACGATTAATGATGACAGAAAGTTAGAATTAAGCGATAACATCGCTTAGCCACCTCAGTCTTCTCCTTACTGCAAATGCACACGGGATACCGTAACAAATATTTCTATATACACTATGTACAATAGTTCCCGCTGTTTGCAGTATATGCACAGTCGTAATATCTACGCAGTTGTTTGAGAAATCACGACACTGTGCAGTCCGTCAACGTGATTTCTTAACGGGTGTGCATTTAATTACATCTTCGGACACTGCACATAGTAACCTTCCAACAATGGATAATTCCTTCCCAGGAGTGTCTAATTCGTGGTTTAATTCGTCTAGCATAGTCCTTTTTCCAACACCCTGTACACATCGTTTACAGGATGAGACAAACCAACTATATGCCTTTCTTCTAGAGTATCCAATAGCAGGGGGGGGGAGCATTGTTATTAGCTGTCGTACTTTTGGTGAATGGGAAGACTGCTTACTGGTTGCGCACAGAGTCATCCAGCCCTCCCAGCGAAGCTTTGATAGCAGCACAAAGCAGCAGTGCAGGCCATAGGCCTTAGACCTGTAAATTTATTCGACAGTATAGAAATTCGTTTCCGTGCAGAATCGGGTTGTCTGAAATAGCCTCACTCACTATACCAATGCTAGCACTATCTGCTTCTCGTTTGCCCTCTCCTAATGCCGATAGCGGCATAACAGGCCAAGCTGCAGTCTCAAGGTCGTAGAAATTCTCCGTCAATATTGAATTGCAATTATCACAGTACTATGTCAGACAAGTCTACGGGTGGACATCAGTGTCTTCAGTAGTGCGACCTGGTGTCCGCAGTCTGTTCTGTCTGAACATTTCAGCCTGTTTCCTTTTATTATCACTTCTACCGCGTTCATCAGTACTATGTACATCTCGTTTGGAGCGTGACCGTGGCCGCTGCGCGGTTCGGCTGCTCGAATATCAACTCTAATCCGCCAACTTCAAGCCAGCTGTTAATAACCCGTCTGCGTATAGCAACTCCCCAAAGCTCAGGCGATCTAATAAAACAGTTGGCAGGATCGCGCAGCCCCGCCTCCGTTAGCCGGAAAGAGCTATCACCACAATTTCCGCTTTGGGGGTGCACCCTTCAACTCTTCGTGAGACTGAAATTCAACCATCCATTTACTAAGTATCATAGCGAATTGTTACACAATACCATTGCATTCTCTGCGACTGCGAGACGAACGAATCTGTGGAGCTGTACAGCACTGCAGCGTCTTCAGACAGTGTCCGCTACTCAATAGGCACCGCGTTACAATAAAAAAAGAACTGAAGTTCAAGGATGTTTAGTAGGAGCCTGTGTTTCTTATATGGCTTTTCTTTGAAATTTTAAAATACAAAAAACAAAAAAAGCAGAAACATCAACTCTACTCTATTAGAAATTATTTTTTCTACCCTTATCAGTATTTAGGCAATAATAATAGAAATTTAAATTGGTACATAGCTACATCATAAGGTGGTTGCTTCAAGCAAAATATCTATTGTGTTTAGCACGGTACTCTTAGCTGTTATTTTCTCTAATAACAATAGAGGGATTACATAAAGTACCAAATGATGCGAACGCGAAAATTAGCGAAGCGCATCAATTCTACACAGCCATTTAACATTATTTTATGAGGAACCAGACTATTTTTTTTCTGCTAAATTGTCTACAGCAGATCAGCCTCACTCTGCTTTTGATTGATAGCAAAGGCCGGTCGCTTTGTGACATAAGACCAGTTATATAAATGCACATACTAATCAATAAGTGATCACCGAACAGTTCTCAATAGTCTTTCAAAAGCGCGGCCGCTGCTGTTTAAGGACGTACATGTCTGTGCGCATGATTCCGATTCCACAGGAGATAAAACATCGATTTTAACGTGACATTTGCAGCTGGAACTCCGTTTCCATTGTCATCAAGGAGTAGCTCTTTCGGTTGTTAAATCAGATTGACGAATTTCCTAGGAGATTACAAATCAGGCCAACAGTACGCTCCGGCCCTCGTGAGATGGGCTGTCCTATTCAACTGTAGAGCCTTATCTTACTATTCAATATGGGTGTAGCAAAGGAATGAATGGTCTAATTGTGATCCATACAGGCCGGTTACTGGGACAATGTTTTGTTTGCGTCTTCCGTGTCCTATCCCAAACATTCAGGTTTGTTTCGCCTTTTAAATATCACACTGATTAGGTATATTCTATACCAAGAACATACCTATCACTTGATTAGGTTGTATTATCATCGACTGGAAAGTTTTGTCAGCGAAAGCATACCCTCACACAGGCAGACAAAAACAATAATAACGAAAGAAAAGAAACGAATCTCGGCAGAATCTACACGTAGATATTAAAATGCCTGTCTTTATAGCACAGCAGGTTGTTCAAAGATGTTTCTCTTACTGTTTTGTTTGCAAGATGTCGCTGCTATCAGCATAAAGAGATGTTTTTCGTCAGTGGCTGCCAGATAAAGCTAGATTTATTGTGTGGAATGAGTTTTGCGGAGACAGAAGTAGACTACGACGAAGGAAAGAGTCATCGCTCGCCTGTGTACAAGTAGCAGTAATAGTAATTGTGGCAAGCAACACAGTCCGAAAAAAAGTCGACAGTTGCGTTTCGAAGCCTTCGACGACGACGACGACGACGACGACGACCCAGTGGCGAACGCTTCTAATGATCGTAGCAGCCCCTGCTGCCGCAGAACGACAACTGCGAGGTTCTGCAGCACAAAGCGGCGCCGCTAACACAATATACAACACATCAGGTTGATTGACCGCCCTCGGATGCGTGCCCTCAGTCAGTGGCACCGTCACGGATGGACTTCGTCTCGATTCACCTCCTCCTGTCTCCCAAAACATTTTCCACGATGGGTCGCCGCCCGATACCGATACACTGACTTGAACGTGGTCTATAATATTATGACGTCCAGCTTAGCGGAAGCGAACCATAATGCCGTCTATCCATATCAGTTCTATGGCAACAACGTGAGGCTGAGAGGGCTGTCGATGTATGACGCGGCACCAATTGCCATCGTCTAGACTTGTTTTCTTCCAGAACCGATCGACTGTTTAGGCTTCGGTCGTTCATTCACGACTGCATTCATTTTGTGATACCTTGTTATTTGCCAGTTTTAGAGAATACAGAAATGCAGCTCTCGGACGTTACGACGAATTTTCGTAGAAGAAACTTGCCTTCAGGCTACGCAGTCGAATAAAGAGGTTATAGTCAGCTATAGAAAATGTTTAGTAGCACTCCCCGTAACGCCGTTCAAGTTAGTCGAATCGAAACTGCCAGTACAAATATATCATATAGCAAGCGTTATTTCATTTCTCGACCCATTGTGTGCGCCCTTTATCTGATATATACCGCAAACAGGCTCTCATAAATATAGAAGCATATTGACGAACGGTTTCATTTTTCTATATACATAATTTAGATACATTACTTTTTTTTCTCTTACCGTCTAGTTTTTGGGCCCTCCCAGCGCTGACAAATAGAATAGGTCTTAAGCGAATATTCCATAGCTCACTGACTTGTCGCGAATTAGGCCTGCTAGCGCGCAGGCCGACCGAAAGGCACATCCACAGGTACACAAGGACGCCAAGATTTTGGCACTGATTTATTTAAAACAGCAAACAATACTCATTCTATTTTGACGGCGAACCAATAAACTAGCAGAGTTGAAAAAGACAACGACCACTACTAGGCTAGATAGTGCCCTAAACCAAATTTCAAATAACAAACTACAAGAAATGGTCGTCGCAGATCAGATGGGATATAGTGGGAAATGACGATCAAGGATACCGAAGGAACGTTTGCCACAGAGAACTAAAGTGAATTATGTAAAAGCTAAAGCAGCGGGAGTCGAATCAAACAAAAAAAAAAAGCTCAAAAAAGATGCGGAGAGCGGAACCAATCGAAAACTTGCGCAAAAGCCATCATTCGGCGAGGAAGTCGCAAATGTCCGATCGTCGACACCAGTACCAGTTGTCGTCAAACGATTTGGTGCTCTTTCATACAGCTAAACAAAAGGCCACCTGA